CTCAGCCTTCTGAGTAGCCGGAATTACAGGCATGCGCTACCACGCACGGCTGATTTTTGACTTATTGTAGAGATGAGGTCTCGCCAAGTTGCCCAAGTGGGTCTCGAACCCCCGGGCTCAGGCAGTCCACTCACCTCAGTCTCCCAAGGCTCTGGATTACAGGCAGAGCCACCGAGCTTGGCTAAAAATGTGAATTTTAAAGAGGAGGAAGATGAAGATTTATTTTTAGAATTTTTTTTAAGAGATAGACTGGAATGCAGTAGCACAATCATAGCTCACTATAACTGGGCTCAAGTGATCGTCCCAATCCAATATAGCTGGAACTATAGGTGAGTGCCACACGCTAATTTTTTGTTGAGACAGTCTCAATATGTTGCCCAGGCTGGTCTTGAACTCCTTGTCTCAACTGACCCTCCTGCTTCCACCTCTCAAAATACTGGAATTATAGGCCTGAGCCGCTGTGCAGGCTGATATTATTAACTCATTCATGATCGCTGACATGAAATTATTCCAAATTTTGTTCCTGGTTGCTGCTGATGTGAATTTATGTCTTTGCAAATTCTGTTTCTAAATAATATATATTCAGTTTATCATCTGAATAAAAATACAAAGTATGGAATACTAGAGTGGTGTCCGAGGAATACTGGATATGTCTGCAACTTTCTGCTGCATTGTGAAAAAGGTGACCGTTTAGAAAAGACCATTTCACTTGTGCTTGACAGAAGTTTGCGGCAATCAGCTTCAGTTGTTTTAAATTTTCACCCGCAATCAGTATTAGGAAAGTGAAAAATTTGTCGATCATGAATGTGTCAACTAATAATCAAGTAGGGGGGAGGCAATAAAATGGATGCTGGGTTAGTAAAGAGTGGAGTTAGGGTTTTGTTTTTGTTCATTTGGGAAAAAGAGCATGTCGAGTATCACTAGCAAAGTAATACTTCTGGGCTCACATTCCCAGCATTGCAAATTGTACAGTTTTTTTGATTGTCTGCTATGTGGCAGGCCCCGAGGCTTAGTGCTCGTAATACATTATCAAGAGGCAGTGTAATAAAGTTAATAAACAGGGTAGACCTCTGCCACTTGCTTGTAATTTATGAAAGGACTTACTGCAGGATGCATAAAACCTGTTTTTGTTTTAAGGGCTGCTGTTACCTGTTCACTGAGGAAAGATGTTTGTAAAAATAGAATAAATCGTATGTGGCGTATCGTTTGAATATTTGAATATTACATAAAACATCTTTGCTTGGTACCTGCTACCAATCAGAAACTAATGTTTTAATAGGTCTTCAGAAAGTTATTTGGCATGTGCAAAAAAAAAATCCTTTTTTGCTATGCTTAAATGATGTGAAAGATTTACATTAAGAAGGTTTTGGATAGCACAGAAGCCAAGTATATTAGAGTTTATTTTGTAATCTTATAATTTTATAGCAAAAGATGATCAAAATTTGCAATCATGCTTCTTTTTTTTTTGAATTGGAGTCTCACTCTGTCGCCCAGGCTGGAGTGCAGTGGCATGCTCGGCCACCACAGCCTTGACCTACTGTGCTCAGCCAATCTTTCCACCTCAGCCTTCCAAGTAGCTGGAACTTCAGGCACATGCCACCATGTCCGGCTAATTTTTTCATTTATTGTTGAGATCAGGTCTCGTCAAGTTGCCAGGCTGGTCTTGAACCTGTGGGCTCAGGCAGTCTTCTTTCCTGAATATTAGGACCTTCTAATAGTTTGAAGTTTATGCCGTGAGCCATTAAAAATCCTAAGATCTCTCTGGCAACATTATAGGAAATGTTTAGAGGTATGTGAACACTATATTAGAAACAAGGAGACTGGCTGGGCTTGGTGGCTCAGCCTGTAATCCCAGCACTTTAGAAGGCCCAGGCGAGTGGATTGCCTGAGCCCGGGGGTTCGAGACTAGCCTGGGCAACTTGGTGGGACCTTGTCTCTACAACAAATCAAAAATTAGCCGGGTGTGGTAGTGCATGCCTGTAGTTCTGGCTACTTGTAAGGCTGAGGCAGAAGGCTTGCCAGAGCCCAGCAGGTCGATGCTGGGGTGGCCGTGAGTATGCTACTGCACTCCAACATGGGCAAGGGAGTAAGATTCCAACTCAAAAAAGAAAGAAAGAAAAAAAGAAACAAGGAGACCAGGGGAACTCATTTCACTAGTTCATGATCCCAGAAGAGTAGTGATGAATGCTTGAAGTATTAAGGCAGTGGGATGGAACAGATTTACAAGAAATGTACAGATTGAAACCAAAAGCATTCATCTTATTAGCCTCTTTTTTGCTGCCCTTTTCCATCTTCTCCGTATTTCAGGATTAGCTCTTGAGATTTACCTATTTTTCGAAGTCTTGCCTTAACATTCTAGTTTTTTTTTTTTTTTTGAGTTGGAGTCTCACTCCGTTGCCCAGACTGGAGTGCAGTGGCCGCTCCCGGCCACTGCAGCCCTACCTGCTAGGCTCCGGCGATCCTTCTGCCTCAGCCTTCTAAGTAGCTGGAACTATAGGCGCGTGCTACTATGCCCAGCTAATTTTTTTCTTTGATTTATTGTAGAGATGAGGTGTTGCCAAGTTGCCCAGGTGGGTCTCGAACCCGTGGGCTCAGGCAATCCACTCACCTCAGCCTCCCAAAGCATGAGATTGATTACAGGCTGAGCCACCGAGCCCGGCTACCATTCTAGCTTTAATTGGTCTTCTCCTTCCGAAACAATACAGAAACAACAACAATCTGTTTTATACATTTAGTACTTATTCGATAGTACTAATAGTGGCAGGTTTCATTTGGGTATCAGGTATCATAACACCTGACTTGTATCGTGCAGTTAGATTCCTAGATGAAGTCAATGATATATAGGTGGATGTAACTGAGGAAACTAAAGCACATGGTTACATAGCCAGTAACAGAACTAGGTTTGGCACCTGATTCACCCTGGTTGCACAGCCCATTCCTAACCAGTATACTGTACTTCAACTGTTTTAGTGTGCACTTGTTCCAGTGTTTGAAAGCCATATCTTAAGTAGTACTGAGCACATTGTAGGTAATTCATTGCTTATAGATAATCCTTTTTCTTTAGTCTCTTATTACCTTAAGCCCCTCTTCCCCAATATTCAGTCTGCTATGGAGTCCTGTGAGGTTAACACATTATTCTGTCTCCTTTTCAGATTTGGATGGTGCTCTACTCTCAGGGCCAGATGGTGATAGGAATGTGAATGCAAATTTATTGACTGAAGCTGGCTCTAGCCAAGATGGTGGTGATGCCGGTAGGTACAGTAAGATTTAGGCAAGAATACCTTTAAGAGGATTTGAAGATTGAGAAGTGTTACATTTTTACTATGACTTATAATTTCTCTCCCTTAAGGGAGAGTATTTTATGTAAATACTTTTAATATATGATAGCTATGTTTATGATGACTTTGGAAAATTGGAAAGTATAAATTGATAGAGGTTTTGTATGTTTGAGGAAGTCATGTATTTAGAGTTTTTAAATGCCACCCTAATAAAAGAATGATTGGAAAAATACCTACTTGCAACTTCCCCACCCCCAGGAAATAATTCAAGGTCATCAGTGGATATTAAGCGACTGTCAGTGGGCTTGTCTCACTATGATTGGGTGAAAGGTTGTTAGGGAATAGGATATTCACATCATCCCACAGATTATTTCCAGTAGCAAAAGTGGGGGGGATAGAAGCATCTTTATGATAAAGACATCTGAGAAACATTGTCATAACCAAGTGATAAAACTTAGTATCATCTGTTGTAGAACAAACTGAAATTAAGTGTCAGCTAATGTGATGCACTAGCTGGTAAACAACATTACCTGTGTAGTTTTTTGAAAATGTTTAGCTAGAATTGTGAAGGGAAAAATTAGACAAATCTATGTAATATAGCTAACATATGACAGGTGATCCAAACTGTAAAATGTTAGTGTCATGAAAGACAAGCGGGGGAACCACTAAATTAAAGGAGACCAAGGAAATAAATTAAAATTCAGTATGAATCTTCATTGGATCATGGGAACAAAAATGACTAAAGGGGACATTTTGGGAACAGCTGCAAATTTGAATATGTAGTCTGTATACATGATAATCAACAAACTTTGAAGTTCTTGGATATGCTGTGGTTATGTAGGAGAATGTTCTAGAATATGCATACTGTATTTAGGCTTAATGGGATGAGTGTGCAAGTTTTCAAATTGTGCATAAAATATATGTATACACATAATGTGACAAAACTAGTATTTGTTGAAGATAATGTGACAAAACTAGATTTGTTGAAGATAGATATTGGTGTTTTGTTGATTATTTTAATTTCTGTAGTGTTGGAATTTTTTTTTTTAGCCCTTTGCACTTGGTGACATCTGGCATGTCACCAGCAACTTTATCACACTTTTTAACAAAATAACGAAAAACAAATCACTTCATATTAAATAGCATAGTGTTAGAACCAATTATTTTATTGTATTGATTTTCGGCTTATGGTGCAATTTTGGACATTGAGGAACTTATGTATGACCAAGAAAATCAAAATTTTACATCTTACATTTTTCTGACATGTGGTAATGTGAAACACTCACCAATACACATTGCAGGTTCATTGATACATGTGCTGTACTAATTTGTTTGACATATTCCTGGTGTTTTTCTATTCGAGCAGACAATGCAGTCTTGTTTTCTTTCCCCCCATGTTAATAATATGTAATTTATTGTCCAATCTGTGTAACATTGTGAAAGCACTTCACACATCTTTCTACATAATACCAGCTGATATATTCCATCTCATTATTTGCTTCTTCGTGCAATTCGAATGGAAAACTTCAAGGAAACATTTTTGAAAAATTTGTGCCAGCAATCTTGTTATGTCCCCTGAGAGGGGACATCCAAGTACAAAGGGTTAAATTTTTTTTGTTGAGACTGGGTCTCACTACATTGCCCAGGCTGTTCTCCCAATTCCTGCACTCTAGCTATCCTGTCTTGGTTTCGCAAAGTGCTGGAATTAAAGGCCAGAGCCCACCACAACTAGACAGCTTTGGAATTTTTTAAAAAGTTGATGGGGGCAGGAGACACCAAGGGATACCCCACAGTTCTGAAGGAACTTCCTTAAGGTGGTTTCCACTGACAAAGTGAATTTTTAAAAAAAAGTTTAGAAATTAGTGTTTTGCAGGCCACATGTGTTGAATTTTTAAGATTTTTTGCTTGTTCAGTTTATCACTAATAGTGCAAGAGTATTTTATTGTACTTGGTTTCTTGGTTTAGAAATCTGGTTCAAGAATGGGTTTAATAGGGCTGTGTGTGTGAATTCATATGTAAAATTTTTAATTTGTGCATACGAACATTTTTTTCAGTGGAGGATCATCCATGTCATTAATTTCATTCTCAAAACAGTAAGCCTCTGATTTAGTCATTTCTTTAAAGAAGGGGACATTTTGATCTATTAGTGTTCTTGCATCTGAGACCAATCAGCATTTGTCTTGTGACGTGCATTGCTCTTTCCTTAGTAGTTTGCTATTATATAATAATGTACCCAGAAGGATATTATTGACCAGTTAACACAGTTTGGAAGGTAGATCCTTAATGATCCTTAAGTATCTTCAGTTACAATGACAATACCTTTATTCAGGATACTCTTAAAATTCCTATAAGTAATCTCTGCTAGTTATAAGAATTAGGAGAGATGAATGAAATTTGAGAAGTGGCTTTAATTTGAATTACGATTTAGTATTCCAGATAGTGTTTTTCCTGTTACTGTCGTTTTAGTTATTTCTTTACTGTAAGCTATTCAGAGAAACATGGAATTTCAAGTATAAAGAAAATCTTTAATTGTAAATCTTGGATTATCTCATTCTTATGTGGTGAATAATATTTACTTGAACATGTTTTTACTTTAGTTTTCCAAGTATCAGGTACATATTTAGCATTCGGTAGATATATCTATTCAACAAGTAATTGGAGGGCATGTGTCTTAGATATTAGATTGCTTTCCTGTAGCTTACTTTTGTTTTGTAATGATTTAGGCAAGAAGTATGAATTATAAAGCTCAAGCTTTATTTAGAAATGTGAAACTAAAAATAGATTGAACTTCACAGGCTGCCACCCCCAGTTAGAATTCTGAACTTTTCCCTCAACAGTAATACATTATAGTTATATCATACATAGTTATGGGCGTAAAAGGCTACTCTTCACATCAAAAAAGAAAGATATTCTAAGTATAAAACAGTTTACATTGATTAGTAATTATGTGTAGCTTTAAAATGCTTTAGAGACCTTTAACTCTTAATTTTTGAGAGGAGCAACTTGTCTGATAAATATATTGAAAAATGAATTCTTAGGAAATCCATTTTGGTAAGCATTATTTTATTTCAAACCATGGTGCACATGGGAGGAAAATGCATTATTGCTGCATGAATGAACTATACATACATCTGAGAAAAGAGTGTTTCAGGCAGAGGAACTTAGTTTGAGTACCTTGAGTTGGGAACCTGCTTATCATAGAACAGCGCAGAGGTCAGTATGGTTGGAAGGGAGTTACCAAAGGGGTGCTTGGAAGCAAGGGCTCCACCAGGCAAGGCTTTGTAGGACACTGAAAGTCTTTGGCTTTTACTGTGAAAAGGGTAGCCTTTGCCGCCTTGTGTGCAGAATGGTGACCTCTGATGTAATGTTTTAAAAGACTCTGTGTTTGCAGTGCTGAGAAACTGACTCTAGGAAGGGCAGCAGTGGGAACAGAGAGACATGTTGGTAGCTGTCAATAACAATCTTCAGGCTAGAGTTGATGGCTGCTTGGATCAAGGTCACAATAGCTGCAGGAGATTCTACATAGATTCCTGTTGCCAAAAGATACCTGGTCCAAGGAATTACTTACAAATACAAGATGGAATTAAATCCAGCACAGATAATTTCTGCCCTTCCTAATCTAAAGATGGTTATGTACTCCCACCATTCTGTTTTGATTCTACCTTCTGCCTTTAAGGATGAACTTAGATGTTTCCATGAACCCCAAGAGCATTTAGTTACCTTGTTTCAGACAAGAATCTAGTAATAGAAAATCTTTAAATGTGTAATTACTCTATCTTTATGCTTTATCCTTAGTCCATTTTTCTGTTTCAATTAATCTTAAAACACCATTATGATGACCTTGGGTGCCATAAGAAGGATGTCCCATTTGAAGTCCTGGTTTCAGAGGTGATAGAGTCCCAAGTGATAGAATACTTAGTAATAGTAACTGTTAAGATTTCTGTAGAATATGTTTGAAATCTGACATTTAATAAAGTAGTTTCCTGTGGTCTCCACACAAATAATATCTGTGGGTGTGTGTGTGTGTGTGTGTGTGTGTGTGTGTTTTACTCAATGTTTCCTGCGGTTGAATAGTATTTTGAGTTTGTGATTTAAGAATGGCAACATCAGCTGGGCTCGGTGGCTCAGCCTGTAATCCCGCGCCTTTGGGAGGCTGAGGTGAGTGAATTGCCTGAGTCCGCGCGTTCGAGACCCGCCTGGGCAGTGAGACCTCATCTCTACAATAAATCAAAAATCAGCTGGG